CCCAGGCCCTGGTAGCCTCCATTTTACTTTTTGTCTCTATGGCTTTGACTACTCTAAGGACCTCATGTAAACAGACTCGCAAGGTATTTGTCCTTTTGTGAATGGCTTATCTCACTTAGCATCACGTCCTCAAGGTTCTTCCCTGTTGTAGAGTGTCAGAACATCTGTCCTTTTAAGGCCGCGTAATGTTCCACTGTATAGGTAGACTGCAATTTACTTATCTGCTCATCTGCTGATAAACTTGTGGGTTCCTTCCACCTCTGGCTATCATGAATAAGGAACACTGCTATAAACGTGGGTGTGTAAATATCTCTTTGAGACCCGACTTTCAATTTTTTACAGTATACATCCAGAAGTAGAATTGCTGGAGCATAAGATAGTCTATTTTTATGTTTTTGAGAAATCATCCTACTGTCTTCCACAGTGGCTGCACTGTTTCACATTTCCACCAGCACTGTCCAAGGTTCCACCTCCTTGCTAACACTTGTGACTCTACCTTTTTCTTATTTCTTTTTCTTTTTAGCAGTGCCATCCTACTGAGTGTGAGGTAGTGAGGTGGAGATTTTTGCCTCTTTTGTTCACGATGGATTCCCCAGTACCTCACATGTAACAGGCATCCAATAAATACTTGATGATAAAGAACAGTGGTCTAACCTCTCTTAGTCTCAGTTATCCTGTCGGACCTCTCTTAATCTCAGTTACCCCACCTGTACAGGGGGTTATTTTGCAGCTGTGTGGGAGGAGACAGGGATAACGCCACTCGAGGGCAAGTCTGTCTTCACTGCTCAGCCCCAAACCTTAGTGCTATCCTCTCTTTCCTTCAGATCCCACAGTTAGCCTTCTGCAAACCCTGCAGGCTGGACCTTGAATGCATAGCCAGAGACAGTTTCTCACGCATCCCAGGCAGGGTCCCAGCCCTCTCTGTCATCCTTCTGTGTTATCGCACTGTCTGTCTCAACAGGTGTAAGTGGGAGCCTTTTATATCCTAAGTCAGACTGTGCCACTCCGGCTCAAACCTTCAGTGGCTCCCTGTCTCAGCAGGAATAAGACGTTGCATCCTTCCTGTGGCTGACAGTCTTACATGGTCTGGACCTGTTTCCTCTCACCACTTGGTCCAAACAGTGGCCTCTTGGGGTCATCCCTGCAGGTCCAGATCATGTCAGGCTGTGTTGTGCCTTGTTGGTTCATCCCTGAGGCCTTCCCTGCTTACCCAGGCGATATGGTACCCTACTCTGTCCCTCCAACACTTGTCCCCACTTGCTAGGTCTTACATGTGTGAGTTACTACCCCCACTGCTGTACTTGGCATCAGTTCTGCCAGGTCAGGGCTGCATCTGCCCTGCGCTGGGTCCTGCCCTCGATGAGGATATACCAAAGGGATGAGTGGGGCGACAGAGGGATCCAGGGGAACCACGGAGCCTAGGTGAGGTGCTATGGAGAGGAGGAGGCAGTGTGATGGAGTCCCCAGATGGTCCCATAGCCCTACCTGAACCTCTTGATGTTCTTCTCGGACACCCGGATGAAGAGCACGATGGGGTAGATCTCGGACTTGATCAGGTCCCTCGCACAGCTGATGCTGGCCTCCAGCAGGCAGTGCTTGTTCTGTGTGCACACAGGCCAGTGGTCAGCAGTGGACCCACTGGATGCAGGCTCAGGCTCCGTGGGACAGATGGGGGGATATCCCCAGCTGAACCAGGGAATGACCTGAGGGGAATCCCATGGAGACAAGATACCCGTACCTCAGGGCATCTCCTAGGACTCCGCTGAGCACCATGGCATGCACCGGCAGAGGCCAATCAGGTGGTGTGAATGAGTTTGAACAAAATGAATGCTAGACCCAGCCTGCCTTCAAAGGTACTAGGTACCTTGGTACTAGGCAAGATGGCAGAAAACACAGGGAAGGGGATGAACTGGGAGGTGCTGGGAGTGTCTGCAAGGGCTCTTTACCATAAGCTCGTCATTCTTACAAAAGGACAATCCCACCTTCCCTGAAAGGATAACTTAAATAAAAATCACACCAAACTTTGCATCAAAATAGAACACAGATACAGCTCCCCAAATCTCACAGACTGGGTGTATCCATGGCACCAGAGCCCAGGTGGCCATGAGTGGCCCTGTACCCCTTGGCTTCCTCCTGGTCACTGCTCTCCATCCCCCACCATTGTAGTTACTCCCGGGACTTCTAACAGCCCAGACTTGTCAGATAGCATCACCTTTTCAGCTAAGGCAATCTGGCTCCAACCCCACCCACTCATTCCCTATCTACTCTGGCTGTCAGAATTTCCTAAACTGCTATGGCCCAGACTTCCAAAAAAACAAAACAAAACAATAAGCTGCACTAGGCAGGCTGATAACACTGCCTGAGCTTTTATCTGTGTGACAAAGTGGGGGAGGGGGTTGCTGGGGTGACCGGCAGCCAGATGGCAGGTGCAAAGTTCCTGGCTGGGCACCTGCTCCTGCAACCCCAAGAACACTGTCCACTATGGAGCCACCCTCTGGGCCTCTGGGCAGCCTGTCTGTGCCACGGGCTGAGTGCGTTCCTTTCATCATGCACTAGTACAAGATACAACTTGGTGCTGAGGGTGACAAGGGTCACATCTCCTGGCTCTGAAGTCTCTAAATTACATGCAGACACCTTTTCTGCATGGCTGCCAGTAACCCTCCTGATGTCCTATTTTCCCCTCGTTTAGCGGACACGATGCCTGTCATCTGCTCGCTCGTCCTGTCTCTCGCCCTGACACGCTTGCTCTCTATCTCAGTCCCTTGTTATCACAACCAGACACACATATCCCTGAACAATGTGAACTAGCTCACCAGCACCATGCAGCCATCAAAAATAGAAGGAGGTTCCAAAATACAAAATCACGTCAGAACCCAGAGGACGACCGTGTGGAGAAAGTTCTATGGGGCAGATGAAGAGGGAAAAGGGAATAAAGAAGGTTTAGCCCTGGGGATATGAGAATGACTCTTTATCCCTTCCTTGTCTATGGTTCAGGTGGCCTCACAAAGACAATCAGCCAGTGTCACAGGCTCCGTCTGGCCCCCCAGTCTCCTTCACCTTGGCCGCCACAGCTTCGATGTTGGCAGGAACAATGCATTCAAAAGTGTTGGGGTTCTTCTCTCGGGAGTAGATGATGGTCTCTGTCTTCTGCTTTCTGAGGAACTCATCTCTGGTGACAATATCTATAGAGAGAGGTGACAGTCCTGAGAGTGACACAAAATGGTCCTGGTCCTTTGCAGCCCCTGCCTGACCCCTTCGAGCTCTACAAAACTCTGTGTCTGATCCCTTCCTGGACATGTTAAAATGAATCTCACCTCCACTGTTCTGTGAAGCTCCTCGAAGGCAAGACCGAGGTCACACTTCTTCACCCTCCTTGAGGCAGCTCCCAAAGCAGGTGTTTAGTAAATGCTCATGGTTTAGCTTCTTAGCAGTAAGTTTCACTGAACAAAGTTGCTCTGGTGCAATTCTGACCACTAGTCAGCAATCATGAAGAATCTCCTGCCCCTCTCATCCATCAGTCCATCTCCCCATCCATTCACTTATCCATCTGTCTGTTCATCCATCCTGCCTCTTAGCGACTTACCCATCTGTCCACCCACCTATACATCCATTCACCCATTTCTTCACCTCCCCATCCGTCTGTCTGTCTTCCCATCCATCCAGTCACCTATCCACCTAGCCATTCACATATCATCCATCAATCTGTTTATCCATTTATCCATCCATTTATCCTCTACCCATTCACCCATCCACCCATCCATTTACCTATCAGCCATCTCCCCACCATCCACCCACCCACCCATTTGTTCACCTATCCACCTACTCAGTTGTCCCAACTAAAGGCCAGGTATTAGAAGTAAAGATATGATAAAATAAAGCTATTGTATTCAGGGAAATACTATTTAGCTTGGGAGAATGTGATTTTTTTTTTTTTTTGGAGGGGACTTCCAAAGGTTCATGGAAAAAAGAAGGAATTAAAATATGAGCTCATTGGGACTTAGCAGTTAGTGTGACGACTATGTTGCTGGACTCCCATGTAGCTGACCATGGTTTGAGTCCTGGACCCGGTGGCTTAAATTCATGCCGGACACTTGTGCGTGGGTGCCCAAGATCCTGAGAGGAGAACGGAGGAGAAGGGATTGCGGTCTGGCCATCCCCCCTGGGGGGAGGCTTCTCGCTTTCTATCTCTCTGTCTCTCTCTGTCTACCTGGCAAGAACACGTGCCCTATAGTGAAAACCTCTCCAAAAAAAATTTTTTTTTAAATGAGTTTATTTTGGTATAAGACATTTTTTAAAACTCATGACCTGTTTTTTATCACACATATTTTGCACAAATACTTTGAAGACCTCCTCATAGATAATTATAAAATGATTTAGTGGGCAGGCACTCAGGGCCCTTTAGAAAGGATGGGTTACTTATTGTAGGAGTGATGGGTTACTTATTGTAGGAGTGCTGAGGAGAGGGTGAGGTATGTTGGTAGGCTTCCTGGAGGAGGTGCATATTAGAGGTCTCACTCACTTGCTGGGTGACTCTGAACACGTTTTTAGCCTCTGGGCCTCAGGTCCTCCATTTACGAAAGGAGGAAGGTAGAGTAAGTCCAGGCCTGAAATTCTCTGTATAGGTCCAGGCTGGCCTGGGGGCAGCACACACCAGTCCCCAGGTGCAGAATGTAAACTCAGAGTGTGCAAAGAAGGGAGGCGGAGGGGTGTGGAGGGAGTCAGGCAGCCAGCGGAGGGAGAGCATCCTTGAGCCCCTGCCCTGACAACGTCCACAGCCACATAGAACTGAGGGCACCAGGAGGGGACAGGACATATCTACAGAGTTCAGTGGGGGCTAAGAAGGATCTACAAAGAAGGCTTTTTACCAAGTGTTTGGGGCTTCAGGAGGAAGTGAAATCCTCCCCAAGCTTGTTCCAGTGGGGCCTGGGGCTCTCAGGGTTCAGGCAAAATGGCTCTGGGGTGTACACCCTCAAAAGTCTCCTGTGCCCCAACAACTGGGTCTCAGGGCTGTGCAGGCACTCAGGGCCCTTTAGAAAGGATGTGGACCACGGTTCTTGTCGAAGAGAAGCATGCGGCCTGTATTTGCAATGTCTGCTCTGCTAGGGGGTGATGAGGGCCCAAATGCTGCCTGAGGACCCTCCTCCCTCACTCCGATCTCCCTGAGAAGCGGTCGCCATTATCCTGGTCTCACAGATGGGATACAGAAAGGTTGAAAATTTAGCTCAAGTCACAGAGACAGGGGCTGGCAAGATGGAGGAATGGAGAGTTGGTGTTCAATGAGTGTGGTTTTCAGTTTTGCAGGAGGAGGAGTCCACTGGCCACTTAAAAATGGCTAAAACAGTCAATTTTGTGTTATGTTTATTTTACCACAGTAAAAACGATGACAACAAAACCCTGGATGTGATGCCTGACATTTTGTTGGCCCAGAGTGGCCTGGGTACCCATATTTTTAAGGACAGATGACTCTTATGAAGATCCTCGCAGGCAGCTGGGACAGTACTTTGGCTCACCTCAGACCTGCTGGCGGGTGAGTACTGTCACTGTTCCCTGCTACACAGGCGCTGAGGCCCAGAGTGATGGGTGTCTTGTCTTTTGTCCCTGAGTAGGAGCCCACACTCCTGGCTAACCTGTGACATTTTCCCTGTCACCCTGTGAAAAGTGGGAAGAGGCGGTGAGGTCCGTCTGCTCTGCTCCCTGGGCCGCTGTAACCCAGAGAGGGACACGCTGGCATAGCCCCGGCCGTGCTCACCTGATTTGCAGATGGTGAACTCCATGGCACCCCCTGAGTTGAGCAGCTTTTGGACCAGCGTCTTGGCCAACATGGTGGGAGTGAAGAGGACAGGCCGGCGGCGCTCGCAGTAGAAGGCACGCACCAGGCTGTAGGGGATGAGGCTGAGGTTCTTGCTGAGCTCGTTCTCAGGGTCCAGCTCTGGCAGAGACAGGAGAGGGCTGGCTGTCAGTGCCCTGCACCACCACTGGCACAGGCAGGGAGGTTCTGGGCACCCTCTTGGCCCCATGGAGCTTGACGGCCTTTCTGGGGAGGATGGGACACCTGGGGCTGACTGCAAGCCAGTGGTGACCAGAGATGCTGCTCTGGACATCGTGGAATGTCTCTGAGGTGACGGTGGGCCAACTGGGCTCACTCTGGGAGCTGGGCAGCTAGCTGGTCTCACCCATCAGTGCTCGCACGCCAGGGAGGGGAGTGGTGGAGGCAGACAAAGAGCACGTGGCGAGTGCAGTCACACACCACCTGGTGACGTTTAATGATAGACTCTGCCGCATGGCCTTGTGTGTAGCCAGCTGTGCCACCCAGTCTGCGCAGGTACACTGCAGTGTCTGCGCAATGCAACTCCTAATGACACGTTCTTGAATCTGTCCATCATTAAGCAATGCCTGATTGGACATAAACCCTGCTCATTAGGACACAACTGAGCTCTAAAGGAAGGGATCGCTTGAGCAGACAATCAAGGTTGGCTTCTTGGAAGCGGGCCATGGCTGGGACCTGAGCTGGGGCGGGAGTAGTCCCGGTAGAGGGAAAGTGAATGTGAGGAGAGCAAGGAGTGGTGGAAGCCAACAGGCACAGGGCAAGGCCTGGGTGTCCTTCAGGAGCACTGGGAAGCCACTAGGCTGGGGGCAGTAGTGACAACATGGCCTCAGTCCCACTTTTTCAAGCCCTTTCTGGCTGGTGTATGGAGATTGTAGAGGCCTGGGTGGAAGGGGGTGTCTTTAAGGCCAGTCTCAGGCAGCCCATGGAAATAAGCCTGGCCCTGGTGTGGTGGTAGTGGGGGACCTGAGTAGGACTGGGCTTTGCCACCAGGGACCATGTACCAGGCAGCCCCTTGACGGCTTGACAAATGGCAAGAGGCACTCAGTGGGGAGAGAAATCAATAAACAAACACTTCACAGCAAACAGCTCCAATTAACATGGGCATTTGGGCTCAAAGCAACTGCGCCGAGTGTCAGTTAGGGGTGAGCTTGGCGGCACGTCACCGCAGGAGGCCGTGTGATCCTCCTAGCCAAGGCCGAGTGGGTCCGCCCTTGTTTCCCCTCCCTTGGGCTTCTCTCTACTTTTCGAAGGGGTAGATTTTCCAGCCCTTCATGGGGATCGAATGTCTCCAGGTTGGGGTCAGGGGTGTGTGCCCGTGTGGCCCACCCAGGCCCCCGAGGCCAGGTGGTCACTGCGTACCATCCTGCTTCTCAGTCAGGAGCTTCGTGGCATCCAGCGAGGACCGGGTCAGGCTCCCCAGAGGGCTCCCTGAGATGATGCGGACCCGCTCATTGCTGTTCATCCGCTTGTACTTGTTTTCTGACCTGCTGACGAACTGGAGGGACAGAGAACAGGACAGGGGAAGAGTGTTCTCCCTGCTTTTGCTTCTAACCAGCTCGAGCTGCCTCCATCTGGACAAAGTCAGACCTTGGTTCTAATGTCTGTGCCCCTGGGGGCCCTAGGCCAGTCTCCTCCCTGGTAAAAGTGGGAGGTCCCTAGTGGGTGACTTAGTCCCTTAGCTATTGGGTAGGTGTCATCAGTAGGTAAATAAGTGACAAACTGCTCACGCCCTCTTCCCTAATCAGGCCAGGATGGGTCTCGGTCAGTCCCATCTCTGCTGTGACGCTGAGAGAACTCTAGGAGCAGCTTCTGATGGTGCTCATGACCTGACGTGTCCAGCTGGGAAGGCCTCTGCCTGGGAGTCCCCGTTGGCAGGGATAGCCCAGAGAATGCCCATCTGGAGGGCGTGTGCTGGGCATTTCATCTCCCTCCACTCTGTACTCCTCACCACAACTGACTTGCAAGGGAGCCCCTGTTCCCTCAATTCACAGAGCTGAGGCCTTGAGGGCAGAAGGGGAAGTCCCAGAGGTGGGCAGTTTCGAGTCTTTCCACACCCTTCATTCTGCAGGAGGAAATTCCAGCCAGGTGCCTTTAGATGGGACTCTCAAGGTTTCAGACTCTTACCTGACATGTGTGCATAACAGCATGTCAACTCATGGTCCCTCCTTCAGGGTACCTCAGTCTTTGCCAGGGTCCCCTCCACCTGGCCGTCTCTCTGCACCTGTTTGTGTCTGCCTGGTGTGAGGGTTGCACCGCAGCCATATCTTTGGATTCCTCTATGTTAACTTCAGGACAAAGTAGGGAAGCGTCACACTGGCCCGCTGGAGTCTAATTAGAGCAGCGGCTATAGGGGAACATGCTCATGGGGCTACATTTTAATATTACTCCCTTGTGACCTAAGAAATGGCCACAGAGAATACATCTGCATTCTGCATCTATGTGAAATCACCTTTTTTTTTTTTTTAGGTCTTTGCCATAGGGTACATATACTTGCCAGAGGGAGACAGAGAGAGAGACAATCAGAGGGAAAGTAAGAAATCACTCCCCGCCCCCAAGAGACGGCTAGGCCACAATCCCTTCAGGTCTGGGATGCAAACTGCAGTCAGCCATGTGGGAGTCCAGTGCCTTAACCACTATACTACCCGCTGGCTCCATCACTTCTGAAGATATTATATACTATGTTAGTCAATGTTCCTTATAGAATGATCCATGTAAAACAAACAAAAATTCTTTTTAGAATTAAGTACAAGGCAAAAATATTTTCTGGTCCTGAAGAACTAACATACTTCTGTAGATAGGTAAAATTTAAATAACTTGCTGGGTTTCCCTTTTTCCCTTGTCTGCCAGGATGCTCAGATAGATTTAATACTCTAGCTGAGGAATTAAACAAGCTGGCCTAGATATTTGGAATGTTTATTTTCTTCTCCTGATATACTGCTTCTGATTTTTCTATTAATATTTTAGAGCCAAGTTGTTTAAGTTTCTTTTAGCCATAAGTTCACAGAAGTTGGATTTGCTTCCAACAGGCACAGAGACTGTCTACCGACCTGTCACTGAGAGGATAAAATGGGACAGATGTGAGGCACTGTGAAAAGTTGCAAGTAGTGTACAAACACAAAGCATTGTTATTTTGATCCAAGCTTCTCCTCTCAGTAGGGAGAGGGTGGAGCTGCAGCAAAATGTGATTGAAAAGTCAGTAGGTGCTCTGGAGGGCTTTACCTGAAGGAGTTGGCCAAAAAGGAAACTTGCTCGTGAGAGGCGGGGGCTCACCCGGGGGTCACTCGTTGAAAGCGGTTCTTCAGGCTGCAGAGTGTTCTAAAACGAGTTTATCAATCTGTCAGACCAAGCTGGGCTTGGCAGGATTCATGAACACAGTAATGCTGTTAAGAACCAGAAACTTGTGCTCAAGCCCCCTCTGTTCTACAGCTTCAGTCATGGAATCAAAGAGTTTCAGACGGGGAGCAGACAGGGAGCAGACAGGGATGGTAGGAGGAGTCCTGAGACTTGGGGAAAAGCAGCTTGTTCCAACAGAGACCAGAGATGGTAAAAGCCTGCATTCCAGCTGGGACCAAAAACCTTGGCCCAGCCACCACTCTCTTCTTCAAAGTCAGAGCCTGGAGGGGGGCTCGAGAGAGTGGGGCTCCTTCTGGAGGGGTTGTCCCAGTTGTAAAGAACCAAGTTCCCTGTAATTTATCATTCCAATAACACTAATGGATCCCATTTGTTATTTCCTCCAAAAAAGACATGGGAAGGTAGGTTTGAAGTGGCAAGGTCCCTGTCCCTGCCACCCTGGCAACGAGCTTGGTAGACATACGCGGAATGTCTTCAGGGTGTGGTGGGTGGTGTCTGGCTCTTCCCGGCTGCCTCTGTGCATCAGACGCTGTAGCTTGACCAGGAGGAGTTGCTGGGCCCTGGGGAGTGAGAGGGGTGGAGCCTCAGGGCTAGAACAGAACCCGGGGCTGAGCATGAGGAAGCCAGTGGGGCCACGGGCAACATGCCTGTGTGGGTGGGACATGTGCTTGGCCTTTTGCAGGGATGGCCCTGTGGGTGGTGTGAGCACTGAGCTCAAGGGGCACCCCGGGGAGAACACGGTGGCTTGCATTGTGTGTGAATCCTATTTCCAGCACTGACTCACTTGGGGTTGTACACAGTGGCTTCTCTTCCCTGAGCCTCAGTTTCCTCATCTGTAAATCTAGTTTGATAATGCCTTCCTGGCAGGACTGGACTGAGACGTAGTAATCCAGTCACGGAAATGATGACATAGATGCAGTGTTACTGTAGGAGTCCTGTAGGAGCTTGCTAGCTGCCCGCTGCATCTGACACTGCTTGTGCTCAGTCCTCGGCAGCTGGCCCTGTTAGAATTACAGATGTTGGGATGTGCCGTGGAAAAGAAGTGACTAGTGAACACGGCAAGAGGGCATAAAATCGAGTGCCAACCAGACTGAAAGAAGGGGCTGAGATTTTAGTACAGTACCCTTCACTAAAACACCCCTGTGGAGGCAAGAAAGGCTACCTGGAGGAGGAGGGCCTTGGTGAACCTGGCTGTTAACAAAGCGGTGGCCTCCTTTAGCCTGAATTCTCCCATAAGGTTCTCTGCTGGTGATTCTCAGCTGCCTCCTCCCAGGGTCCAGTGGGCCAGAGAAACTGAGGCTCCCCAACCCAAGTTCTGGCCTCACCGGCTATAGCTGGGGATGGTGCCCATGTCCAGGTCCTGGTCTGTGAAAGGGTCGACCCGTGCACATAGCCACTCATGCCTGTCCTGGTACATGGTGTCACGGATGTGTACAACGTCGTCACACTTCAGGGACATAGAACAGGCATCCAGCTGACTGGAGATGTTCAGGTTCAGCCGAATGTAGAACGAGTCACCTGATGTGATCAGGCCCTCCTCCATGTCCTTCAGCAGCTTCCGGTACCCTGTGGAGGGAAAAACATCTCAGACACACACTAGGCATCTGTCAGCGCAGGGTCCCAACACACAATCAGAGCACCTCTGCGAGCAAATTCACTCAGCCCAGCCTCGGATAATGTGACTAGGCAGGATATTACTCTTAGAGTTTATGGCTAGGGAAAAAGTTTCTCCCCCTGATCAAAGGGTAGCCATTTAATGTACACGTTATCTTTTCTGTTTTGGATGCCAGGAAGCTCAGAGATAAAATTTGTGCCACACTGCAACGATTCCTTTTGCTATCCTTTTATTCGCCTTTCTGGTGTTATTACATGACTTCCTCCTCATCACACAGTACTTTTTATTTTTCAGTTGATATGTAACTTACATACAGTAAGTTGTATACATTAAGTGTTCAGCTTCATGAGTTTTCACAAATATATACTTGTAGGTAGCTACTACCCAGGCCCCTCTTACCAAGGGTAACCTTTATCCTGACTACTCTTACCATAGAGAAGCCGTCCCTCCCTTCATATGAACAGAACCAAACAGACATGCTTTTTTGTTTCTGCATCTGTTGCTCAGCATTGTGTCTGAGAGTCACCTGTGCTGTAATGAAGCCGTAGTGTGTTCTTTTTCAGTGCTGTATAGTAATCCACACCACGTGGATTTATCCATTCTCTTATGTGCTTATGTGCATTGTTTGCAGCTTTGGGCCATTATGAATAACTCTGCTATGAGCTATATTCATACATTGTTTTTGGTGGACCTAGGTACTCATTTCTCTTGGATGCACACAGAAGTGAAATCACGAGGTCATTGAAAAGACATTTTTAGCTTTCGCCAAATAGTTTTCCCAAGTGGTAGGACTATGGTACACATTTTAACCTATTTAAACATCATTCTTTCAAGACAATTTTTGCAAATACCTTGGAAGGAAGCAGGGCATAAACTATGAACATAATAAATGTATAAAGTTCTATGTGAATATCCATGAATTAAGCCTATAATATAAATTCCTAAGTCAGCCGCACCATGCAGACTGCTTCCTAACGCAGTGGGAGCTCTAACAGTTCTAGTGAGGTTTGTGTTGTACATTCCTGGGACATTTCAGCCAGCTGGGTTCCCATTGCCTGGAGAGATAGGGACTCTCCATCAGATCCTTCTGGAGAAACTTGGCTTTCCCCAGTGCATCTTAGAATCTTTTCCAACCCCCTGATCAGGCCTAACCCTGATCAATAGCCGAGTTCTCTGCTTCCAAAGATAAAGGGCCAACATATAAGACCTAGCCAGAGTGCACTCTCCCCCCTGGAACGCCAGGCTGCAGGGCTATGCTGCTGCGGAGCTCCAGGGGGCGCTGCTCACATCACATTTGAAGCACTGCAGGCCAGTGGGCAGTCAGGGCATTGCCCAGAGATTTTCCTTCTAGGCTGGAGAATTAGGCTGCAGGAGCTGGGAGGAGGTTGCCCTGTGTGTGAGGTCAATCTGGCCCTGTGTTTGGGGACAGAGCGTCTTTATCGTCTTCCACACAAGCAGGGCACTGCTGGGCAGGAGCTTGAGCAGGCAGCACGGGAGAGCGGCTAGAGAGAAGCTGGCTATTTATGCTCTGTTGAAACATTCATGAGCCCCGGTGGTTAAAAATAAGATCCAGCTGCAGAGATAATCATGCAGGAAAACCCAGAGGTGAGAATGAGAACTCAGACTCTGGGAAATAGAAAACAAAGCTCAGTGCTCACTGCCCAGGGGTCCTGGCTGAGAAAGAGGAGATACGATTAAAAAACTGCTGAGGGCCTGATGAGAAGGGAGTAGGAGGCCTGCCTGCCCTGGAGTTGGGGACCATAGAGCAAAAGCCATGGGGTCTGTGATGTGGCTCAATGGCCCTGCTAAGCCTGGTGAGGCCACTCCAGAGCAGTGCCTACATCGAGGCAGGAAAACCCAAGGGATGGAACAAACTTCAGGGGTGAGCCGGGGCAGGTCAGAGCGCCAGCACATATGCTTGGGGCTGGGGATGCTGTGTTCACTGTGACCAGTAGGAAGCCCAAGGCAACCCAGGGCTGGTGCATGTAGACTTGGCAAGAGCCCAGCTTGAGATAGAACAGCCCTGCAGGGTCGTCTGTTGTCCCTGCTTGCCCTCCCAGATCTGGCCCCTTGATCCTTCTGAGGTGCCCAGGGGCTCATTCCTCCCAGTGATCAGATGAGCAAGGAGGCACTGGGCCGCGAGGTCACTCGTCTAAGGTCAGAGACTTATCCCCATCGCTGGAGTTGGTGTCCTGCTGGCTGTGGCCTCACCTTCGTGGTTGACCTTGTAGTGCAGTGTGACAGGGCCGCTGCACCTCTGGATGGTCCAGTGGGCCTCCTCCTTCGTGCACGTATCCAGGGGGACGCTCTGCCGCTCGCCTTTGATGTAGCCTTCTAGCTGGATATCAAAGACACATTGTTCCTCCCCGGCTCCGCAGGCAAGCAGAGCTGCAGGGTGAGACTGCGCCACATAGGAAATGAAAGCTTCTCTTTCTGAACAAACGACTAGCTCAGTGCTGCTGAGAGAGAAACAGCACCCTGCTTAGGTGGGACACATTTGCCTCCCGTCTACTTCCTGGGAACATGTGTGTGCATGTGTGCGTGTGTGTGTGTGCATATGTGTGTGTGTGTGCACAGAGTCTAGAAACACAAGCAAGAAGTTGGGGAGAGAGGGGTCTGGATTTTCTCTTCTTGACCAGGAGTCTATACCTTAACCTGAGGCTTAGGGGATCCCTCTATCAGCAACAGGTGTGCAAAACACATGGAGGAAAAATCACGGCATCTAATTATGCTACCACCACCCCCCTGGGGACCCTGGTGCCTTACCAGCAGCAGCTGGTGGCCTTCATGGAGGCCAGCCTTCTCAGCCAGGGAGCCTGGCTTGACTGAGTGGATGAAGCTCCCGCGTGCGTTGCCCCCCAGCAGGGTGAGCTGCGTGATGAGGCCATCGCCGTTCAGTGTTGTGTGCAGCACTGAGGGCCCAGGACCCCGCACGTGCCCCACAGACGTTACCGAGGGCCGGAAGGGTCTGGATCAGGAAATAAGACAGCAGTTAGGCAGCTGGGCTAAAGAGAGGAGCTCTATCTGTGACATGCCAGGGGGTGGATGGGGGTTATTTGGGGGTGGGGAGAGTAGTCCTAGGCAAGCCTCTTCCTCTCTAGGCCTTGTTTTCTTTGCCTGGACGATTAGTGGGTCAAAGGAAATGATTTCTGACTTGGTGATGCTGATTCTGGGGTTGCTTCTAGGAGAACACAGGGGGGATAGGATAGTCCTTTTCTTCAGGGCAGTGAAGCAGTGAGGGGCCTTTATCCCATCCCTGCTCCAGCACTGACTTTCCGTTTGCCATGACCACCGCAATACCTTTCTAGAGAGAACTTCCTGAACATGAGGTTGACCTGCTCCAGGTCATAGGCGTCCAGGCCCTCAGACTGGTGGGAGGAAGAAGAGGAGTGGATAGAGGAGGGTCCAAAGGAGTAGCGTTCGTGACTGTCATCTGCAAAGAAATGAGGTTTCATCCAGACCCAGAAATGGCCAGGGGGAACACTGGTGGTGATGACCAAGGGGAGGTCACTGAGAAGTGAGCATGGTGTCCTGCAACCCCTGCTCCTTCCTGCCTGCCTCCCAGGGGGCTGACCCCTGAGGCACATGGTTGGGTCCTTGCATTGTCTCCAACATTGCCATTCCCCCTGTCTCCCAGGAGTCCCCTCTTATTGGGAAGCTATCTGGCTAAGAGTTGTTTTGTTCCCCTTCATTTAGAAAGGGGAGCTTTCTGTTATCCATTGCTAGATCTGTTTTTTTTTTTTTTTTTTTGGAGGGTTTTTCATTGTAGGGCGCGTCC